TAGAATCCCACAACTCCACCACAGAGTCACCGCAGTAGACGTTAGATGAGCGCTGTCGCTCCGCGGCACTTGTTGTAACAGGTTATATTAGTTTAATACAGAGTATTGTGATACATATAGTAAGTCCCCGGATAGCGGAGAAAGGTTCGTGTTTAGAATAAACCCAGTTTGGAAGTTGTAGTCTCGAAAAACGAACCATAAAACCGCCCTGAGTGAATCACTCAGGGCGCCTCCACAGAAAACTATAGTCCGCGTTGTAACCCTACTCTTGTTGGGTTACATTATTGTATCTATCTGTAGCCCTACACATGATACATTAATCATTATGATTATTAAATAGCCATGTCTCTACATCAGTACATGTACATATGGAATTCTTCCATAGAGCAGCATGTGGTAGCATTCACAGGGCTAGTATAGGGTAGATCTAGTAATCCTATTTTTAGAACTTTCAGACGCTTGTGGTGGTTGATAACTTGATCTCACCACAGGCCGGCTCAAGGATAGAGAGCATGTCCAGTAATAAACATCATCCTATCCAATCACCATCCTGGACATCATCTCTATCCTTGAACCCCACAGGCCATTGGATGCTCAAGTTTCAAGAAGAGTATACGGGTATCCGCTTCGCTCTTAATATAGTCTTATACTCTTCTTGAAACTTGAGCCTCCAAGGGCCTGTGATCTCACGACGAAGCTGATCTGATAAATCAGACGAGGGTTTGTGTACCTGGTGAGTGGTGTGGTGCAGTGGTGCCTGGTGGTGCCAACCTAGGCGCCTCGGTATGAGTATGATCAGGGTTCTGCCCAGAATTTTTTAGTGCCGGGCGCATCCATTTGCGACGAAGTCGGAAGATGCAAGCGCCGTAGGCGCGAAGCCAATCTAGGGGGGTCCAGGGCATGCCCCACCGGAAAATTTTTAATTTTGGATAGTCTGAAACTCAATTTCCTGCATTCTGAGCAAGAAAAAGCCCATATAGATATATCAGACTTTTTTTTCTTTTTCTTTATCAAAAATTAGTGCCGGGCACACCCGCCCACCGTGGGCAGAACCCTGACGATGTATAACATAGCTCTGCGTGAGCATCGCTACGACTGGCTACATTGCCTTGTGTCTGTGTCGAGCACTCTGTAGAAGTTACGAATCGCCTATCCTGATGTAATACCTATAATTACTACAAATTACAATAACAATCATTTAAAGCACAGACACATGGACTGTTTCTGAGAAAAAATAATCTCATGGCTTTAAAGATGATAATAATAATATATATATGCTGTCTCAATATGCTGTCACTGAGCTGTGTTATGTGTCTATGTCTAGTCATGTGTATGTTAGGACATGACTTAATTACTACATATATGTTATCATCAGTATCACCCTAACCATGACCACTAATGCTAATCTAATCCTAACTCAATTAATATGGACTGAATGTTCCCAAAGTAGATATGGCCCATGGATTGGATTGATCATAGTTAAATTCAACATCCTCAAAAAATGAAGTTAATCTAATGGGTCACAGTTTCTATATTTGACAACTTTCACAACTTTACAATAAATTGACATTTTATAAAATGACCATTTCACCATTTAAGGTTTGTAGATGTCCAATTATTATTTTGCTTTTTAGCGTATTAAAATCATTACGTCAAAGCTAGTTTATTCATTTGTAATTCATCTAGGGGCTATATTTACAAAATGCTGTTGGTATAAGGAACATGCTTATTATAATCCTGCATGCCCAATTAAGGGAAATTCGACAGGAAACCATTTGTAAAAGAGGTGCAGTTCCGGTGTGTGATATATTGAGGTTTGACAGCTGTTGATTTCTAACTCTAAGTGCTCGTTGATAGGATCCACAGACTAATGCACTTGATAAAAAAGGAATGTGGTGCTGTATTCAGTTTATTGTAGGTTTTCTGATATTGTTGAATTTAACTTCATTTTTGCATTATAACTTTGTATAACGCTGCCTGAGGCACGAGTATCCTCAATGTAAATCTCCGTCCGTCATACGTCTGTCCGTCTGTCCGTCAATGGCTACGGTCAAGATAACTTGAGAACCGTTTGACCCACATGTTTCAAATTGCATACAGTTGTTACTCCTATGGGAGAGATGTGAGCATCCTATTTTGGAGCATGCCAGTTGACCTACCTTCGAGCCACGCCCAACTTTTGCCAAAAATGGAAATGGCCATAAGTCAGTTCAGGTTCAACCGTTCAACAGATTTTGCTCATTTTTGGTATGTGAATGAATAAGGACTGGCCCCAAAACATATCACAGGGCTTTTGATATTTTTTTTAAGTTATGCAAATTGGGTAGATTTTGGCAATTTCACTATGCATTTCAGTGTCTGCCTACGGTTAACGATAACTCAAGAACCGTTTGACCCACATGTTTCAAATTGCATACAGTTGTTACTCCTATGGGAGAGATTTGAACGTCCTATTTTGGAGCACGCCAGTCGACCTACTTTTGAGCCACGCCCACTTTTTGGCAAAAATGGAAATGGCCATCTATATTCATTCGATTTTGTTAAATTTACCTACCTACCTAATCATACCTACGTGTAATATTGTGTTTTAGATTATTCGTTACAGTAATTTGACTGGAATATTTTATTGCACGATAATCTAAAACCAAAATGGCGATCATTTAGGCGTAGCGCCATCTCTCGCCCAGATTTCAGACTTTCAGATCTGAAACATTTATTTTAGCATCAAAACTAACCCTGAAACAAAGCAGTGAAATTTCTATTAGTATGAAACAGGGAATAAGGACATTTGATTCCGTCACAAGCACATTTCGGTCCGTCATAAATGAAACACTTACCAAATTTTAAATATCATCTCCTCCTCATATCACACCCAAGGTGAGCTATAGTGTCATTGACACTTTCATTTAAATTCTGACCAGTTAAATTGCAACCAGTATGACTTTAACTTGATGGCCTGAGGCCCTGAACGAATGTGTAACGTGCACTAATTATATATATAATGTATTATAACATCGTCAGGGTTCTTGTAGAGTGCCGTAAACTGAACTTTAACTTTACTTTTGTTTTGTGTTGGTTGTTTCGTAGCAATGCACACACAGACCTTTGGGAAAATGCCCAAGATGTCAAATGCAGATCTGTTTTACACATGGCTGCAGAAAACGGACACTAAGAATATATATAACATAATTAAAGGTATATGCAGCAGCAGCATATACAGTTCAGGAGAGGGTATGTTCCTCCTACATTTAATATGGGAATGTAAGCCACTTTTAATAGGCACGGATATTAGTAGGTTCTATGCAAAAAGTGTTCACAGACTAAGGATGTGTACAGGATGTTAGTGTTTGTGCAGTGAGTAACATGGTCAGGTTAGTCATGTGCTGAGCAATTATCTGTGAATGATATCTGATTTATAATGTTTTACATTGCAAATTGTGCAACACTGCAATTATAAGTGATAATTATGAATCATAACCAGGAGTGCAATTAAGTGTAAGCATGAATAAAACTGCCCCTCATCACATGAGTGCTAATGTATACACACATTTTTCTTTAAAAAAACCTTGTGACATACTGCCTAAACGAGTGAGGTACCAAAATTTCAGTTCTGAAATATACATTTAAGCTTTCTGGAAATACAAAAGAGAATGCAAACAAGATATTTGGTGCACGGACGTCACATTAGATATATATACAAAATAATAATCACAGAAACGTCGTTTTGTTGTTGCTCGTGCCTTTGCATTTCTTGGTTATTGAGTTGGATTTCATATGTGTGTACGTATGTGTAATGCATGCTTTATTATTGCCAGTTGTCAAATGCTGTTGAAGCTAGGCAGTCGGTGTTGTTACAGTGAATGAGAAATATTCGCATATATACTATTCTACCTCAGCAGGCAGTACAATGGCAGGTTTCACTGCAAAATGAGGCTCTCGCGAATATTAATTGCACTGCCGTACCTGGTGTTTTTTATGGTTCTTCGCTCAGCCATGTACAAACCTAGCGCTTTTCCGTCGTCGGTAATTTTAATGCGGAGTCATATAAGCGGGGCTGTATAGCCGCTGTCTACAATGCAGTTAGGAGATGCAATTTTTACAGTCACATTACATTATTACATCGTGTATGCACGTATTGGCTTGATGAAATAGCATTGAAGTGCCTCGATGAGCCAGGGCGTGTGTGCACCAATATTCATTTTTTCTCGTGTGTCTCTTGGCAACTGTGTATGTATACTGTATGCCATTTATTTGCACACGTATGGTTCATATATTGCCCACAAGATTCTGCAGTGAGAAAGTTGAGCGTAAACCTGACCATGTCGGCTAGTGATGAATGCTTTAATTTGCTAGTGGTGTAATTAAATGTGAAAGAAAATACTTTCTCTGAGTTAGTATGTATATTTCAGTTAGTAATACCATATATTTTGGTCGTGGTTGTCGCCACTGATTTGAATGCATTTCGCTCTTTTGTTGAGTTTTCAAATATATTTCCCCGAGGATTACCTCACTGCATCGCAGCTGCATAAAATAGGTATCTATAGTGACATTCATCAGATATGCTCTTACTCCGTCTCTGCGTATTAAATTGAGTGCTGCGTGCATGGGTGCGTATGTGTGTGTGCCTGTGTGGTGTGTGCGTGCGTGCTAGGGCGTGTTAAAAAGCTTGTAAGCTTATATATATATATATATGTAGAGTTAACCTCAATACCAAGGCTTCAAAGTTGTTGTGATATTTTCCATATTTCTCTAGTATCTGCATGATCACGCCCATCTACTGCTGGAACTAATCTTCCAGCATAGCAACGTTCAGTCATTATTAATGAAATTCATTATACCAGCATCCTTTTATGGTTCATCAATGCTAGAATTGCATGACACCATAAATAAATATTTTAAAATTATCCTGCACTGTGTGCTGCAGAGAAGGGAGAATGCTAAATTTCAGCAAATTGTTAATAATTCATTATGTCCGCCAACCTCTCATCTGCTCTGTGCCTGCATGGGGTACTGTATCCGTTCTATATCTAACATTTAATGCGTTTCCATGGTGACATTATTTGTCTGCTGCTGCAGGCTGCAGGTTACACTGCGATTTGCCTTCTGCTTGCTAGCAGGCTAACAGTAACACATAAGTTGGCCGTATAAGACTGCAGTGTATGGCAGTCTGCTGTGTGGCATAATATATTACTCAAACTGCTAATGCTGACATAGCCTACTTCGCATGTCAAAATTGTCACATCACGCCTACCATGAGTCTGCGTGCATCCCTGTACGGTAGCGTGTTACTGTAGACGAAATTTTCTGTAAGCCAGGGTGTACCACCGGCTGATTTTAAGGCTGACACGCACCTAGAAATTTTTATCACTGGCAGCGATGTTCTTAGTAAATTACGTGTGTGTGATATTGTGGTACAGTGTAATTGTTAGCGACAAAATATCGCCGACAACACAATCGGCACCGTCTAGTATGCTAGGAATATTTGGTGACCATGATGCTGGCAATCACTTAAAGCATGCAGTGCACACGTCGCTGTTTGCTTGTGGCATAAGGTCCTAGTGCTCAATCACCAAATGTGCGTGTGCCCAGTGCTGTTTATTGCCAGCAGTAAATGTATCGTCCAATAAGCAAGCTGTTTGCTAGAATGGGATTTTTACAATATAGCCCCCTTAAATACATCACCTTGTGTGCGGTCATCAATGACGAAAACTAAATTATCGCCATCGATTATTAGCCAATTCTAGGAATTTCCCACCTGGCGAATTTCGCCACGCTAGCAAGAAAATCGCTAGGTTTGGGCCGGCCTTTAGGAACAGAAAGTAGAGTGTGGGTGCAGAGCCATTAGCATATACTGTACTGTGTGCTAAATTGTCGGCAGTCATGTATCTCTGAAATCTTTAGGTGCGAAGCGAGACTGAATATAATTATTTTGTAATAAAATAAACATGGACCAGTGAGTCCATATAAAATATATAGTGCGTTACATCGTATATTAATGCATGAAGGCTTTGTTAAAGAATGTGTGAATCAGATTTCGTATAGATTTCGTAGATAAATGTTTGTAATGATCCATATAGGGATGTTGTAGTGACCTAGTCTTCTGTAGGCGATCATTAGTTGGGCAGGTACAGTCTGTACTGTAGATGAGAGACAACCTATAAAGTTTCATGGGTTAGGTCATCAATTGTGTAATTATCAGCCATGTAGGCTGTTTATCGTAAAACTAAAAATTTGCTGGTTATATCTTGTATGTATATCTTATCTTATAAACTGCTAAGTGTTGTAAAATAATGATAATAGTAAACGTACTAGGTAGTTTCCACTAAAGGCTTGTATTAATTGGTGATGTTATAATGATTTCACCAGATTATGCCACTGTAATAATAACCTACGACGTCATTCATCTTGTGTAGCATGTTTGTTGTGGAATGGGAACATTTTAGGACAGATTAGATGGACTAAAACCTAACTTAGTTGAGCAGGTAAAGTAAAAGCTACTTGAAAATAGCTATAAACTAGGAACTATCTTACTAGTGCTCTCAATTGACAATTGCGTATGATGCCCCTCTTAGCCATTTAAGACATACTAGGCAGACAAGCATGTGTACTGTTACTGTCGCCATAGTTACTGATGAAGCTTAATTCTGAAGCACCAATTACCCTGCATTTTGCATGTACGCAGTATGTGTTCGTACCACCATTGCTGTACATTAAAACCACCTCGCTTTCGTGCCATCGCTAGGTAATCGGCTTGGCCATACTGGTACTGGGAGTCTACTCAAAAGTGCAACTGTACGTCTACATGGAATTGATGGCCAACTACTACACGCACACACCGTACATCATGATTGCGATCGGAGCCTTCATCGTGCTGCTAGGCGTGGGAGGATGCTTCTGCACGATCAAAGGAAACTCCTACCTCCTCTACGCCGTAAGTATCGCCGTCGGGCACGTGTGCCACAAGATGGCGCCACATTTTATGGTAAAAGTTACAGGGTGAGTTTTTAGATTACATGCAGGTTGCGTGTAGCAGATACAATGGTTATTATCACCGTATATCTATACTGTGTCTTATATTCATGTGTCAATGTGTTAAAGAGGTTTTTAGGAATGATCTAGAAATCAATATTGATCCAGTTGTTTTCTATCTCATTTTTTTCCAGTATTCTGTCATCCTTTTCATCATCTTCATTGCTGAGCTGTCAGCTGGCATTTCGGCTTACATCTTTAAGGGAAAGGTGGGTGAATAGAGCTGTTGTGGCACTGTAGTCGGTGCTCTAGCGATAGAGTGGTATCTCTTCACTGAATTGTGAGTGTCTGGAAACACATCTTGAACAAGTGAACATATGATCCTATGTGCAAGCCACCCACTGCGCTAGCAGTCGGTGCAGTGCCACCTATGTGGGTGGCTGGGTGCATATTTTCGACATATATTCTCATGAGTAGTGCGTCCAAGTGTTACACAGAAGTTCGTATATAATGATAATATGTAAAAAGTTCACCTGTTTTACCTGAGCATAAGTGAGATCGTGAGTAACTTTCTCCGCAATAATTTGAATATGTATTTGTGTAGATTTTTCTGTGTAATAGCTGGTTAAATGGCGATAGACATTCTTCTCATTTTGAGCATTGATCGTAAGCTAGGATATTTTGTAGCACTAACCGTATCGTGTGAGTTTATGATAAAGCAGTTTTGAGATCAAGTCTGATAAGCCGGATCGAAGTGTTTTTGCGTTATCAAGAGCAAATTAACATGTTATGTATGATCACACAAGTAGCTTGGATTTTAGCGTCTTGACGATGGGAATGAGACGCTGATTCGCTCTTCAGATTTACACGGCTTTCGAGGATGGATTGAACATCGCTAGCAACAACTACGGTCAGGACCCTGCCGCAAGCACCGACGAAGCCATGGACCACATGCAGAAAACTGTGAGTGACTGTGCCATGGCTTGACTGAGAAGAGACGAGGCGGGGGTGCATCTTTTAGTTAGCGTGCGTAGTGAGGCGAGGATCGGGGGTCGTAGTCGATGACTACATGACGATTTACACTCATTTTATAGTTATTATCATTTATTAGCTCATCTGACGTAGTCAGATGCAGCTTGTAGAATCGCATGATTGTGCATGCGTGCGTGCGTGCGTGCGTCCGCCCGTCAACAGTTGGGCACAAATCTTAACCGCTCGACGTACAGTCACGATATTCGGATGTGGGGGGGTAATCCAAAAACGAGTTGGGATGTCGAAGCTGGGGGTCACGAGAGGTCAAAGGTCAAAGGTCAAGAGGTGTAAAAGAAGGGGGAACATTCACTCCTTAACTTAAGGTATAGGGAGGAAATGCAGAATTGCGGCACAAAGCTAAACAGCTTGACCTAGGCTCGTGATAGTCGGTGTATAGCATCATGGTAGGAAAAGCCATCACTGTGCCGAAATTGGAGGTCACAGGTCAAAGGTCAATGGGGCACAGGGCAGATTTTAGACATTTTCTAAGGACATGGTCTGACGGAGCGATTGAAAAACTTTTTTGTTTCAGCGGTGACCTAGCATTTTTATGGCTTTATTGAAAGGACCATGAAATGTACTTTCTGCTGACATGCGAAGAGTAAGTGTCGGATAACCTTTTGACCTTCAAGAGGAGGGTTAAACATGGATTTGTTTACTGTTAGAAAGAATTTGACTGCCGGGTTTGCTAGTAGAATCTATACATGCCTGGATGTATGAGGCTACAATGTCACAGTGAAATTTCAAAAGCTAAATTTGGTTGAAGAAGGTTTATGCTCCTTAAATCGTATAATTTCTATGGCATTCTGTACTGTCAGTGTGTTACATGTAACGTATGCCACTGCCAGTGGCCACTGCCAGTGCATGTGGTGATAGTACTGTGTAGTTTTTGCCTGCGTTAATTAGTTACAGGTGGCAGCTCTTTATTTCAGCCTGTAGGGTTGCGTAGGTAAATGGATGAGTGCTTACCTATTCTGTCTTGCAAATAGTTGTTGCTACTACGTACGATGGGAGCTTCCATCTTTAATCTTAAGACACTTAAATGTACGCGCCATCTCGTGGCAACTTTCATAACGATCCCAACAAACATTCCGTTGAGAAGGTTCCTGATACCATCCCTTGCCTTCCACTGTTTCGGCGTGTATGTGAACACATTTGGGACTAACAGGGTTTACTAGAATCCCACCACTCCACCACAGAATCACCGCAGTAGACGTTAGATGAGCGCTGTCGCTCCGCGGCACTTGTTTAGCATTTTTGTTTTAATTTTCCCCAAAATCTAGGATCTTGCTCCACCTTGCCCCCCCTTCCTAGAGACTACAGACCTATTATTACTTAGATGTCAAGCGTAAAGTATCCATATTATATTTCATCTACTTCGCACTGCACCATTGAGAAAATAGTTACACTGGATTTTATTTGTCTGCATTTTAATTTCCCTTCTAGAGATATTCTAAAATACTTATAGTCCACAGACCTTTTAACCGAAGTCTTGGGCTGGTAGTCATGACAAATTACATTTAGGAGGTTGCAGCAGTTACTGTTCTGTGTTACAGCTGCACTGCTGTGGAATTAAGAAGTACAGTGATTGGCTCAACACTACATATGGAAGTCCTGGACAGGTGCCGGAAAGTTGCTGCATTGACCAAGCCAACACTACCTGCATCCGCACTGGTTTTGTTGGCACAAGCGCCGATATTACTACGACTATCTACGTGAAGGTGAGAGACAAACTACATAATTGCAGCGACGCAGTCGTAAAGCCTCTAATTTAGAGTGACGCGTGCCGTCCCTGCTTGTTATCTTGGCCGTCGCGCTTTTACATTGGCGCGTGCATTTAGCAGGGACGTGGATAAATCGCTTTGTTTGCAAGAGGGACAAGCAGCGTGCGGTTTGTGTTCTTGGCATTCGACCGTGGGCAATCCGCCATTAGCCAAGTAATATTATCTACAGTGTTCAGGGGAGGGGTGGGGGGCAATTTCTCCTCTTGCCCTCTGCTAACTACGGCTCTGATTAGGCATTAACGAAAATTCGCATTCGCGAGATTTCACCTAGACCCGCCGCTGAACTTTTCTGTTGTGTTCGCAGGGCTGTCATAAGGAGGTGGTGAGCTTCGTGGATGAGAACATAGGTATCATTGCTGGTGCTGCGACAGGGTTCGCATTCCTGCAGGTATGCTCAAAGTGTATGGGCAGAGTTGTTTACAGTATAACGCTCGCATTGCATGACACTGATTTCGTCAGGCTGCATTTATCGGGTAAAATTAGGGTGTCACTATAGAGCTTAAATGAATGCTATCAAGAATTCTGGTAACTTTTGCATGAGAAGTCCAGTGTAATTATGCACAAGGGGTGCACGGTCACTCGCAGTTTGTATGGACGCATTCTTAACTCCTAACGACTTGTTATTTGGTGGAAATTTTAATAGTGAGCATGAATGTTCAGCCAGTCAACACCGGCAATCTGTGTGCATGACAGCTCGCCGGGTGTGGTGCGCATATTGTTCATGTATTGGCTGTTTATTGTGTGTTTGAATTAGCTTCTGGGATGCGTGCTGGCGCTGGCTGTTGCCAAAGTGATCGCAAACAAAGTCCGCTATGAATCCATGGAGGAATGAGTTGTTGAGCGGTAAAAGCTTCACTTTGAGACTCTGACTCTGATCGGTTCTCTCTAACTTTCTGTACTAGCATAGCAGAAAACGAACTACTACTAACATGTTTAAACACAAGTCTTATATGTTTGACTCTTTCGGCACTTGGCAAACTAATATATGCATATGTGTGCTGCGTGTGTGTGAGACAGAAACCAGGGGGTTGGACTAGCCAGTGCTTACTTTGTATGGGTGAAGGAGAATTGTCATTTTCTCACGTCAGCAGGCTTGAGTTACCATAACTGTCTGCCCTAATGGGTTGGTTTCTACGATAACAGATGTGCAAGTGGCAGTCGTACAACATGTATAACATGAACCTGAATTCTCACACTCCATATGCACCAATTATACTCAAGTAATAGAGTGCAGGATTTTAAACTTGGGAGATCGAGCAAACGTACTTTTAATTTCATCATTCTTCCAAAAAATCACGTTTCTTTCTTATTTAATGATTTTGAGAGCTTGCAGATAAAATTACATGGTAAGTGATGTTTAATGAGATGCATAATAACTATTTCATACATACCTTTACCGCACATAGAACATAAACGAAATCAACGGATCAGTAATATATCGGTTTACCGCAGTAGGTATAGAACTCTTTCACGCATCGTTTGCAAATGGCCTCGCACGCATGCTCCTGCTGTGTAAAAGAGCCCTCTGTTGTAAGCCTGCTAGTCCCAAGGCACACTTACGCACATTCGTATACCTATGCCGAAGACTCTTGCTCTTTTAATCTTTCGTCTGTCTATGAAGGAAGAGTCTTCCTTTGCTAACCAGCATAGATTAGTTTGTGGTGATGGCGCAGTATCTGGGGAATTCTAAACCGCGTTGACACATTTCCTGCATTAGTAGATAGTAATGCCTAATGGTTAATGCTCAGAACTCGAGTTGGAAAGGGTGAGGACCCGCTTAGTATCGGTGATGCAGGGGTTCCAGTCGTGTCTTAACCACTACTGCTGTGTCATTTTATTGTAGCGGGTTTGATTTGCTAAATTGAAGAGATTCTCTGCTAAAAATAGAAGATCAGCATATTCTGATCCACTGCATCTTCCAGCTACTGAGTGGACTAGCCAGTAGAACACATGAGAGAGAAATAGGATGAATCAAACGTATTCAAATAGCTTCTTCTGCATAGGGATTCTCTGCTGACTCTCAAATCGAACTAGCTATAGGTCGTTTTTCTTCCAGTGTAGATAGAGTGCACATATAATCAGGAGTCTATCAACTCCTGATATAATGGCTAATTATAAATTCCATGTTGACCGAAAACAGTATATGGTCACTGGTAATGGGTGGTTCAACCCATCCTACCCAATGAAAATCGAAATGCACAGTCAATCTAGCAGGGCTGATTAAACTTAGAATTAGCTTAATTAGTATAGAATTAAGCTTATTTATACTTAGCTCTTGAACGTTCGAAGTGAGCACGCATAGTGGGTTCCATATTTTTGTTTTCACTCACACTTATAAAAGTTGTACTATTTTGTTTACTAGTTGTAAAAAGAAAGCACCACTAACCATTTAAATTAATTATACACCTCTGCTGTCATATTTCAAAAGTAATTGAGAATTGCCTAATGTATTTAGGTCATGATTTTTGCCTTCCTCTATGGAATTATTGTTATTGTGCACTTTATTCTCTAACTGTCATTCAGAAAGGAATTTGTCTGGTTGTATATCACGTTTATTCGTATTAAATATCACTAATCTTTGTTTTTATACACAGCAGTGTCCACCACCGTTACTCGTGATTTCTATAGTAATTTGTTTGCTATCTATTGTTTACAGATACTCGGTGTGCTGCTTGCCTGCTGCCTGGCAAAGAATATCAACAAAAATAAGTACGAACAAGTTGCCTAGACTGCATGTCATGAGCAGGTACTTCCAGTGAAAACTGCATCCAGACAAGAATGTTGAACCTTCGTTATTCCGTACTGAGCACACGAACAGTGCACTGTGAAAATTTTCTTCTTTTCTTATTGTGCAGGGTCCCTCTGGGATTTATTGGAATTTTTATGTATAGCATGGTTATAGTATCTAAAATTTTATTTATTAAAGTTATACTTGCTCCGATGTCTCGTAATGCTATCTGAGTAATTGCGAAATCTCTAATATCAAAATCATGTGTGCGATGTTTTATTTGTGGGCTTTACAATTTTAGTAAGTGATCATTAAAAAAGGGTACTTGTAGCTTAATGTAAGCTTTATTGTGGAAACAAGGCAGGATACATGTTGGTGTGCTGCGAAAATAACAAGACGTTTTAGTTGTCATATCCTACTCTACAGTTTTTCTGGCAGTGGTGTGTGTTCCCCAACCTTATACCAGTTTCCTATTACAAGCTGCAGTGAATGCATAGATGCTCTGTGCAAGATTCTGTCACTGAATAGGCATTGAAGGCATGGGTGTGTCAGTGTGTGATACTTGTCCCAGCGAATCTGTCACCATCAACAAGCATTGTTTGACGTCAAAATGTAGGTTGCCATAATTGCATTATTTACACGTGGTCAGATTAGTAAAATGAATGGTTAATATCATGAACATATCTAATACAATATTACGATACAATCTTGTATAGATATTTTCAGGGTAATATGTATCGCGTCGTGTTGTGTCTGTGCATTATAATTTCTCGCCATTTGAACCACCGAGTTTTTGATTATCCTATCTTACATTTTTGCGGCAAATATCTGTGATCACTGATGCTGACCACTATTGGGTTTTACTTACGATTTTGTTCTACTCAACTTGATCACAAGCATACAAACTGCACTTTTCTATAACCCGTCTCACCTCAAATGTTTGCAGGTAGGGATAAGCATTTAATTGCATTTCTGCAAAATTACAATAATCATCGACCCCCCACCGACTCTGCTATACCAGGTAGATTGTTTGTACGCTTGTGATGTAGTTGGTATTTGTGAACGGCCTCTTATTAGGATGAGATTAGGATAATATTCAAATATATCTTTATTAAGAATTAAAGCATTTTATCTCGAATATGGATATGTTGTGATTTCGGGTTCGCTTCGTTAAACAGCTTTGGTTTTATACCGGCTCCTTGTTGAAAATCATGTTTAGGATAGAGGAGCCATGACGGTACTAAAAACATCACCCAGGAAATACTGAGCGTAACGTGATTGATAACGAAATAGCACAATTCTATTGTGCGTGGATCTATGTACATGCCGTGTTGAATTTGGCTTTTTAAGTGAATGTGAAATTGAAGCCATTTTTGGCAATTAAAATTTAGTTGCGTTTATTCACGACAATGAGCCGGAACTGCGTTGGTTGATGTGTTTGTTTTAACAATATTCCTATATTTGAATGTACTGTAATTGTGCCTTTATTGTCTAATGGTTGTGTATTTAGTGTGTACATGCATTCTTCTAACACATCTTTCATTGGTGCATATTTTCAGATTCCAATCTACATTAATTTGATGGGGCATTAGGATTTATTACATTAAAAAGGGAATTAGAAATAAGGACATCTGAATTCGATATACCTAGAGATACCGTGTTTGATTACTGGTAAATATTTCTTCACACTTCTGCTTATATTTGAAACTTGGTGCTATAGAGTATAGTCACGAATGTATAGTAGAAATGGAATGTTCTAATACATACATTCGTGATATAGCGTACGTGGTCATTGCCTTAAAACACAGTCTATTAACCATAATTCATACAGAATATGTCAGTATGGCCAACTGGCAGGGCGGTATTTTTTTTAAATAGCCACTGAAAAAATGCTATTCGTTTCTAGCGTCTATGATAAATTGTAACGTATATAGGGATGGAAATCGGTGCAATATTCCTGCGAGTCATATTGTGAATCTTGATTATTGATGTATGAAGCTATTCTTATGAGAGCAGGTGCCTTCAAACATATACCATCTTATCTATTTTGAGCATTTGGGCTATTAGTAGTACAAGAAGTGTGTGTGTGTGTGTGTGTGTGTGTGTGCGTGCGTGCGTGCGTGCGTGCGTGCGTGGGGTGCAATAGATTTTAGGCAAATGCAGCAGATGCGTGGAGGATAAGTGACTGAGTAAGATTATGACATGGGCAAATAGGTGAAGTAAAGAACAAGGGTGTGGTTGGAGCGTTGGACTGACGTAAAGTGCAAGGGTATGAAAGGTATGCAGGGGCGAGGTAAGATGCAGAGGTATGTCAAGTATGTAAGATTGAGGTAAGGCTCAGGGGTGGAAGGAGTATTTAGGGTTGAGTAACATACGAGGTTATGGCATGTACACACGGTTGATGTGTGACGAATGAGTATTGCATGTGTGCGAAGGTAAGGCATGACACAGGGCTATGACGAGTATATGGGTGTAGGGTGAGGAACAGTGGTATGACAGTTATGAAAGGCTGAAGTAAGCCATAGTGGTATTCCAGCTATGATGCAGGGTTGATGTATCGCATATGGGTATGACAGGTATTGGGAATGGTGTATGCGCTAGGTTTAATGTAAGGAGACATGATGAAGGCACCATCCCTACCTTTCTACTTCTAAATGTGGCTAACTATCCTAATAATATGTCTACATGTTTCACTTTTTGTGTTGTCATCTGCTATGTATTTTTCGATGGAAATCCTGCATGATTGGTTATGACGCAATCGTACCTACCATTACTCGATGTATGGTAACAAGCTTGTCATATAATGTTATCAAATTAATGTCTAGACTTTTCTTCCATGCTACCATTTAATATAGCTATTAAACATGTATCTAGCTTATCTGTAAGGTATCCGTTTAATTGTGATGGAGAAGGTAAAGAGCATACTTGCATTATTGCGCTCTTGGTGAGATAGTTGCTTTGCAGCGGTATGTATTGTTGAAAGCTTGAATATATATACAGTATCTATATTATACATGAGGGTTTAATGCCTCTAATCTATAAACAGCTTGGTTTCTCATATCTTATATCCGTTTACATATGATAATGTGCGATGGATGTAACATAAACGTATTTATTCTTGTCAGCGGGTGTATACTGTCAGGCTTGCGCTTTCAATTTTCCGTTATCAATATCACTTTTATCAATATCACCATGACGGAGTATACCGATATTAATGCATAATATATCCCTGCAGTTTGACTCGTTTCCGTGTCGCGAGTGATCAGTAGAGAAGGGGAGCGGCTTGACGTAGGTGGAAGGTGAGAGGCTTGACGTAGGTGGAAGGGGAGAGGCTTGACGTCGGTGGAAGGGGAGAGGCTTGACGTAGGTGGAAGGGGAGAGGCTTGACGTCGGTGGAAGGGGAGAGGCTTGACGTAGGTGGAAGGGGAGAGGCTTGACGTAGGTGGAGGAGGAGGAGCCATGTATGAGGGATGAGGAGAAAGGAGGGGATTGACGTGTTACGGGAGAGATCCGGCTCATAGTCTTTTACAATGGGGGAAATATCTGCGACTCGCGATGTGTCTTTTGTCATGTATTTGCTACCTGCGTCTGCGCGCAGGAATGCTGCTATCGAGTCCGGCTTAGGTAGGTTGATGAGTGAGTGGGTGCGGCTCAGGTCTCCAGTGGCTGGTGCTAGCATTGCGTATTCATACGTGAATCGCTGTAGAAGTCATTGCGTAGTGTTTCGATGGGGGCCCTGTAGTGAAATCATAGACGATATGACGAGCGCGTTAACCATTCTAGTTCATCGTTTTCATCGCCGTTTCGCTCTATCGTTTATGTGCTAGTGATGGTACAGTGCGATGTTATGTAGGTTCTGAGTAAGAGGAAACGCACAGTGTGTGTAGTCCCTGTCTATATGCAGGGACTCCTGTGTGGGCGATCGAGGTGCATGGTTTGAACAGGTGGTTTGAAGACGTATAGTACCACGATCGTGGTTCACCAGTATCATCGATATTAGCACGAGTGCACTTGCGTGCTCCTTCTACGTAGATGCTGGTGATATGTTTGGTTCCAACACTGATATCCCCTTGATGAGTATGATGCAGTAGTAGCAGCAGCAACAAGACTTGTCAGGTAGCAATGCTCACTTATAACACACACGCACGTACACACGCACGCATGTACACGCACGCGCGCGCATCGTCCGATATGCGGTAGGACATACTGAGCGTGCATTTAACCCGATTTGTCTGACTCATTGTCTGACTTATTGATTAACTATCGGCTATGTGATTGATCTTACTGTTACTGATGTAATTAACCAATCTGGTATTTGATTCTAACCATGTTGATATAATCATGCAAAACGGGTCAATAGATGATAAACTCCACCTACTCTATGACTGCACTGCCACCAACCACATCAGAAAAAAGATAGAAGACAAATTTATACACTTTACATTCCTAGGCAAATCATCCATAAAATGGTTATGCATCACAAATCATGTGGCCGATCTCCTTGAACTCTCAAAGTTTATCGAAGATTCATTGAAGCTACGACAAGATCCACCCCAAACATAAATGGTGATATATACAAATAATAAATGAAATCACACCACATATCCCAAGCTAAATACCACAGGCACTTGAAGCGTTACAATAAAATATAATGCTAACTAAATACGAAATCTATAGTATATACATATATAGTATATATATATATAGTATATACACTATATATATTAGTGTACGCGTGCAACAGTGGAGCCGCGAGAGCAATGCCGCCGGCAGCGTATATGGTTGCACGTAGGATTTGGACGGAATTTACAGGAAACAGTCGGCAATACTAGGTGAAAGAGAGTATAGAAACATTAAGAATTTGGTAGTAAATAGATTTCGTATTTAGTTAGCATTATATTTTATTGAAACGCTTCAAGTGCCTGTGCTAAAAACAGAGGTTTAGACCAACAGTCGGGCTTTACTAGTCCTACATCTGAACTCAGGGCGCCTGCAGTTTCCGATACCAAATGTTACTATCTGCGGCAACCGATACCACGCAATACTTACCGCGATAGTCTACTCACATGAATCTTGTTCGGCGTAGTTTAAGAGTGAATTTTATTACACTCGTTTGAAGTGTTGTTTTTTTGGTTAGAAATGAACGTTAAATTATGTTAAATAAAAAAATATATTATCATGTATTATGATGTAACATGTGTCATGCAGTCATGTCAAAGTTTAAGTAGTATAAGAAACATCGTCTCTCTCGTTTTTATTAGCCTAGGAACTTGTCGTAGTTTGTAGCCTATTTGCCTGTATGATCTGCGATTATACGTTCAATAAACTTTATTTGAATTTGAATCATGGCTATTATTTATCATTGGCATTGCGCTGTATAACTAGAAGGAAGATCGAAGTAACCGAAAACGTATATAAAAAATAAGTGTACATGATATAAATTATAACTGTATAATATATTGTGCTAACAAAAAAACGCTTCATTTTGTTAACCATCGCTGAAGAGGGAAAATGTGCGAATTGTAATAAAACGGACAAGGCTGGGAAAGCCAAACTGTAACTCGGGCAGATTTTTATTGGTATAAATTTTAAGATTAGGGTGCGAGTGACATGTCGTCTGTCTGCACCGCTCTATATCGCCACGTTTACATGAAGGAAGTCAAGGAACGCCGACGTGACTAGATAGATCAAATACAATTAATGCCAACATTTCTCATGACGATAGTGATTTACATTCCGGCTGATTATAGACATGCAGATATGACGATGACCTCGATGTAGTGAAGAGTGAAGCCATCCCAATGTAGTTAACGTGATGGTTTGCGCATAAAGCAGTATTTATCAATTGCATGCCTCGTACGTGGCTGTGACTCGTGTACCACCTTATGTAACGTTGGAATTTACGCTACTGTGTGGAGCTATTGAAGTAGAATGTATGTGAAGCCAAAATACATAGGTAAGAATAGAAGTCAGACTTACTATACACTTCATCAGAGCACGTATATCATATAATATAGGCCTACGTGCTCTGACTTCATCAACTATATATATACACATTATAATATCAGGAGTGAATTATAACAGATTTCTTAATCGTAGAATTCTATTATTATTGAATATTCACTCCTGATTATATATATAATCAGGATTTAACTTCGTGTAAATGGCTTCGTGTAGGATGATACAACGTGCTCTTGCTTATTACGCTTTAATTACTTGTATGGGGGCATTCCGGTCGTGGTAGGAGATGGTAGATGTACGGGTGTGTGAGTCGTATATATATATATATATATATAGGGGGGGATCAGTGGTATGTGAACCCCCCCCCCCACGTATTATTACCAAGCCCGCGGTTGTTATTTTGTGGCTTTATCCTATGTCTCGCTGTGGGTGTGTTTTGGAGTCCAGTATTACGTTTAATTCGGTTTTTATTCGTACTTGAGCGCGCACGTTCTTGTTATTTGCCACATTCGCAACACCAACGTGTATTTCATCATTGTTTGTAGTGTCATATTGCGTTACATATTTTTTATTTTATTTTAATAAAGGTTTGCTTTGAGTCGGATCAAATGTGCTACTCTATATTTTTACCGTGTTCATGGGTATATATATATATATATATATAATCACAGCCAAAACAATCAACAACTCGATCGTAGAATTTACATAAATTTATTTTAAGAAGATTACACTTTTGATTTAATAAAAAATATTTCCCCACTTGCAGGGAGAATTGCAACGGTTTGCTGCGAGTTTAAAATGGCGTTGCCGGTCCAAGAAAAAACATGATTGATAAGTTAACCCACGGCGCGCTACCAGGGTGCCCTTCACGAACTCATTACAAACGCATGAACACGCATAAAACATCCCCGAAAAAAGTCAAACGTAGTGTGGTCGGGAATTCTACTACGAAACGTTGAAAATGAGAAATCAGGCTCCCTAGCATCGGTCACAATAATATTCGATATCAGAGTACAAACAAACGCTAGACAACACCTGACAGTAATATCTGTTTCACTGCGCCCTGACATCGAATTGTAGCTTCACGAAGAATCACAAACGATATTAACGTTTACCTGTAACTGTATCGGACGAATATTGGCCCTGTTAGTTGGAAACATATACGAGTTTATACGAGAGACCTTTTTATACTGCATCATCACCAACACCATTGCTAGAGTGGAAGCGAGATTGGCATTGCAGGCACTGCTGCCTTTTCACAGTGTATATTTTTACATCGCTATAGCTTGAAAGCGGTGAAAATAAATGAAGACCGGTCGGCAACACGAGAACGAGGCGCGTACACGATACGTGAGCACAGTTTAGGTTCATATTCCAGTTTTAAAATCAGACAACGTACATCAGCTGCTATATACCGCCGCGAGATAGAGAAAATCATCAACATAAATGTCATTTTTTCCAAATCTCAACACGAATAGGTAACGCGACGGTGACAAAATGTCTAGCGGGGTAACGGCCGCTGTAAAAATAGTGCTTCATACGTTTGTTTTAAAAGCTTACAGCAACACGCACGCACGATTAGAAAACTGCGCATTCGGATTTCAATTATGCTACAATTTCGTGAGCACACATAAAAAGCTTCGAATGCTCTAACACAGCGCATGTTTACCTGCTGCGACATCAATGGGGTGACCTGGTATACCGTCAATAATCGTACGACTGCATTCATATACACATTGACATCATACATATGTACATAACCATGAAACATTTATTCCAAACACTTTTTTCCATTAATTAATGGGACATTTTTTAATAATTATAATATATTTATATCTAATTCACGCCATGTAAACTCCCCGATTTTCAGAGTCGCTCTTACAGGCAGAGTGTTAGCATCTCACTATCTTAAATAATTTTATTGCAAAATTCCCACAAAATAGTTTAATTATACCAGAGAACATTTCGCACGCCAGTCTGCACCAGGCAAACTAGTTTTTAATCGCTTTCAATACTATAAGGTGTCTTGTACATAGAGACCTGACCACGCATTGTCACCTACCACCACGCTGAATTATGCTGAATGCTTAACGGCTCCTCTCTTACAATGAAATACAGCCGGCCTAGCTGAATGCAAGCACACGCGAGAAGCGATGCGCCTCACAAACCGTGAACTAGTTGAAAACGCGTTTATTTGCGGTATTCAACGAAGACATCAAACTCAGCTCATTCTGTCCCGCCCATGCAGCCCTAACCGGCGCATGCGTGATCACGTGCACCTATGATGTTCACCTATATGCATTTAAAAAATAGCATCGACGCTGTTTTCACTGACGACTCTGCTATAGAGCCTCGCGGATTTCAGACTCGAATGCTACGTGACAGAATTCGCAAATGTTATTACTCTAACTAATGCTTAGCGCGACATTTGTTACGTTGCCACACTACATTACAAGTTAAAAGGACAATTACTACGTAACCGATAACGGAATATACACTGGATGCTATAGAAACATCGTACGTACATGAGCTTTGTTATACACTGTCTTCAACCCCCTGAAAGGGTAGTACGCACGTAAAATAGGCAGTAAGATAGGGGGAAAGGGTAGGCGTTCACATATTCGATGTGGAACAAGGTGGTGCATTCTCTTCGATGAGGAATTACTCGGGTCGGTGGGAACTACACGAGCTTCGCCCGCCGCAGATTCCATCAGGATGCAGTGTGGTGGCCGCGCCCACGCACGTGTGCACGCACGCACGCCGCGCTCTTGCTAGCAAGTGACGTGTTGGCGGATGACAGTTACTCCGGGCTGACGACCCTCGCACGGCCGCAGAGCTACGTAAAAACACCTGCAAGAACAAGTACGCACCCGCTCTTACTTCTCTTATCCCGCTGTGGCAGAGTAACTCACGTTCGGCGAAAGGACTCGGGCCGCATATAGCATCGAAATCACACATGCCTATCGGCAGTTCACACAATAAGGGATTATTCTTTTAGAATTATAGAATATAAGGATAATCTGGTATTATCTTCCTTGAGGTTTGCGATGCATTACGAGAGGGAAAACGCTGCCACTGGACACGGTCAAATGTAAAAACACTGTCCCGTGCGGCTTTTCTCATCCTGCTATAGCAATAGCATCACAACCAGTTTCAACGCGAGGGAAAACAACACGGGTTATGCATCGCCGCATTAAAGGTGCGCCTATAAACACACCGGGGTTATATATGAGACCACCTTGTCGAGATGGGATGGGACGGGCGGTATTTTCGTTCTAGTTCGTACTTTTGCTCACTCGTATAGCCGCAAGTAAGCCCTGGACCTCGGCTTGCATACAGGTGGTTTCTAGTCTGTATATATATAAATCCACGTCCCTCTATTTTGACAACAATTTTGACAACAATTTTGACGTATCGACGTAATTAGGAATTAACTGACACAATATATTATCAAGAGCTAATAATACCTATAGGTATTATATTATAATACCTAATAGGCTATTAGTTATTATTAACTCTTGATATAATATAGCGCATTTTCTGATTTTGCCGTTTCCATCAACTTCAGTTCAGAATTCATTCACTCATATACGCACATTCTCTGCAAAATCGTCCTAATAATCCAGTAAGATAGAACATAATAGACACAAGTACGGCTATGTTTCCCTTAAAGCGTTCCCTAGTCAATTTGTGGTGCGTAGACGTAAACATCGGGGCAAATATTGACCAAAAAAATTTGGCTGACGCAGCTGTAGGCTCGGTTTTCGCATTTGCAGTCTGTACAATTAATCCGCCGTACACCTGAAGGGTATTGTGTGTAGCACCGTAACAAGGTACATGAGGCCACAAAGTATATAAGGCATCATTACTGAAAGAAATCCTTTCTAAAAAAGTCTTGTTACTCGTAAGCATTGAGCCGTTTTAAGCCGGTTTCGTTGATCTGATAGAAACATCAGACAGACGAAGAACTTGAACAATCAAACATGCTGAAATCATAACTGTACCTGGCTAGTTATATACCTAAAATCATTTTACCCCCCCCCCAAAAAAAAAATCAATGATTTGTATATGAAGTAAAACCAACATCACGACTAGTGTACGCATATATAATCAGGAGTACAAATAATAACAGGCTAGAAGCCGCTAGATGATAACAGACAAAAAATGCAAACGATTAAGACTGTTGTTATCTTAGTATCTTACTCAAGACACACTGAATCAAAAATATTAAACCGAGTGATAATCAACTGCTCATAAACAATTTCCTCACCGCGAAAAAAGCCTCAAAACTCACATCTATAAATTCGGTTGGCAAACCTGCTCCGACTCACCTAACCAGGCTTACCATGCATCGGCATTATTTTTACACATGCAAACCGCTTCCTAGGATTTACACAGCTAAAGCAGCTCAGTAACCGGGCAAAATGTTCCATTTGAGCGTAACAGCCCGTGCTGAGAGAGAAAATGGAAGAGAGAGAGCGCGCGCGAGAAGGTGAAGGAAAAAGTGAGAGAAGAGACAGGAAGAAAGAGAGGAAGAGAAAGAGAGAGGGGGGAGAGAGAGGCTGTGTACATAGATAGGCATATGCAGGCCATATGGCCCGATGACAGTTCCGTTGCCCAGTTACTACTCGCTGTGTACTGCAGCTAATGAGTAATGAGGCACATAATGCTACAGATAATAACACACACACACAACAACAGTTTTAGCATGTTGCTCTAGGCCCAGGGACATCAAATAAATAACAGCCGTGAAAAATCAAAATGCACGGCCATGAAAAAACGATGTTTTGGCATTTTTTCGACGACGGGCTAAAACGACTAGAGTGGCGGCAGTATGACAGCTAGAGATCATCATAGACAGTTTTACTGCATGCGTCCTTCCTGTATATTTATGCTTATTTGTTTATATGTTTACAATTTGATAGCGAATACAGACACAGTGATATCAACATGATTGATTTGTTTGCCATCCTTGTTTATTAGATTTGGCAATGCTTTCTTTATCACAATCTGTTTTTCAAATCCTGATAGTTTAGATCTAATATTTCTCTATACAACGCCGGGTATCCCGCTAGTACACCCATGTACATCTTGCACATGGGATTTTATTATACCACAGATGTGCGGTGGTAAACGTAATAATGGCGTTGTCGACAGGAAAAAAATACCTCTAAATAACGCGCTTCCATTGAATATCGGGTACAGTCATAGAATGACGCATGGACGCACGCACGCACAGATGCGCACACATACAGCCAACCGGCTGTCATGGTCTCACAGGGCTAGACCACAACTATACATAGGTTCAGGCGCTACAGTACACACACGTACACATCACAGCCAGGTCGTAAACATACACGAACCCGCACATATGTATTTACTACCAAAGTCTTCATGTTTATCTATTCTCATTTGTCCATTATTGGTAATGCAGTGTCCCCTAATGCAGTTCAACTCACAGAAAGATATATATATCTGTATTCTGTGAGTATCTTTCTGTGAGTTTGTGCACAGTGGTGTGCGTGCGGTGAAATGGTGTGGTGCGGAGGAGCAATTGAACGGCATTTATATGGCGACAGAGAATATATAAACATTGAGACTCGGGAAGTAAATACAATTTGTACTTATTTACAATCAAAGTGCCTGTGTGTGTAAAAACAAAACAATGCTTAGCAAACGCGCTTCTCATCACAAACGCTATTTACCCTCTCACTGACTGTAGCGTTCACCCACCAACCCCTCCCCCCACACACCCACCCACGCGCGGTGAACCCTCGAACTTGCTGTATATATACGCGTTTTCTTCTAAGCAGCACTTCCACGCAACTTTTACTCCGGCTGTGGGGATGTTCAGCCGCGCGAAACACCGGCAGAAGACAACTTCCTATTTTTGCGTTTTTTGTTCGGATGCAGAGTTTAGCATCCATGGAGAGATTCTCGCAGATCAACGCCCTCGAAGAGAAATTCCTGAGCAGTGGCTGGCAGACAGGCAGACTGGCCGCGTGCGCGGTGATTGCGTGTGCGTGTATCAGCAGCCAACCGCCTTTGTGAATCCAACTAAGCTTTTGCCTCGTGCATGTGTGTGTGCGCGCGTGCGCGCGTGAACGGCTGAGTGAGTGACTGATTGAATGTGCACGCGCACGCGATGATGCGTGCATGCTCGCGTGCACGCGCGCGTGTGTGCGTATACCTACTGCCCCCGTACACACCCGACACTTGGATGCAAGCTCAAGTCTCATTAGCTTCCACTAACGATAACGAGCTATATTGCACTCGGACTTACGCTGCATCAACTCTGCGACATAACGATGTACTTATATGATGTACTTATATTAGGTGATGTTAGCTGCAGTTTCCGTTACCATGCCACTAGTTTTGAATAAAAAACAATATAATCAAGAGTAAAATAACACACGTATTGTAAATCACGTATTTACGTGAGATCAATTGAGTGATATCATCACAGGAGTGAATACTAATACTAATAGATTATCACATCATCAGAGATCATAGAATCTAATATTATTCACTCTTGATATCATGTATATCGTACTACTGTGTATCATGGTAGTTAATATCATCTCTCATTCTATCACGTATCATAATGGTTGATACCATGTATCATGCGAGCAGGAGTGAATAAAATAAATCTCTTGAGATTATTTACTCCTGATATCATGTTCTCATTGTAGCATTTAATACTCGATATTTTACTGAGCTGAATCAGTTGTTATTAATAGTCCATAATAAAACAAATATTATGCATCCCTGATATTGTTATGTTTTTAAACATAACAATATCAGGGATGCATAATATTTGAATAATTAAAAAATATATATTAAAATATTATAGACCATTTTTTCACTAGACATAATCATTCAATGCAGTACTAACGTGCTGGACGTCTGCCACGTACTCTCTCCCCATAACAAACAAGATTAACAACACAGCATTATCAAAGGGCTGGTATTATGTACTCCCGAATTGACGTGTTAATATTACAAAGAATATGGATCCGCGGCATGTGATATAATCAGTTAATGCAGTAGTTAGTAGTAGTAACGACGCAGATCTATCAAGAGCCCATTAAAGTTTTTAAACCCTTTATTAAGGGGGGTTAATGAGCTCTTGCATGGTTCTATGCATCCCCACACAATACGCGCAGTGGATTATAGCGCCTGATGTAACACCTGTTATTTTGCAATACGGTGCAGCCCGAAATGCGCTTATAGCAGCTTTGGATTTTTTTTGTCTTGAAACATCATAATTGGCTATTAGGCAGCAGACAAAGGGTTAATTAATGCGTAGCGGTGTACGACGCAGCTGCGTCAC